CACCAGAGGGAGGCTGGCCGAGAAGGGCCAGATCGGCACAGCTCCGCAGGGCGGGGTGCCCTTCAGGCCCACACCCCTTGTGACAAGGATGGACAGACGGACAGTGCCGCTGAGGAAAGCAGCAGCCAAGAGACAGGCAAAGGTCTGCACGGCCATGGGGGCCTGAGCAAGGGACCCCTACAGGGAGGGCATTCAGGCTTGGTCCCTCCTGGCAGCCCTGGCCTCACATTTCCATCCCTGATTCCAGGGTTTCTCAACTACCCGACTAGCTGTAGCTGCCAGAGGAAAAGGGGTCCCCAAGTCACTACTTTCTGGGCAGTAAGCAAGCCTAGGTCCTTTGACTCCCATATATTCCAAAGTTACTCCCTTTGCCCTTGCTTAGAATCCTGGTCCAAGACACTGTTAGAGCATAAACCTGGCCCTCTGTAACCCTCACCAACATTATATCCCTTCTATCTCTGTTCTAGGTCTGGGCCCCAACTTGTCCTCAACCCCTGCCCATGAGGTGGGCAGAAGGACTTCCGTCTTGTTCTCAAAGAAGAACCCGAAAACAGCTGGCCCCCCCAAGCGGCCAGGGCGGCCGCCAAAGAACCGGGAGAGCCAGCTGGCCCCTGGTCATGGAAGCAGCCCTGTGGGGCCTCCCCAGCTCCCAATCATGAGCTCTCAGAGACAGCGAAAGCGAGGGAGGAGTCCCCGGCCTAGCTCAAGCTCTGACAGTGACAGTGATAAATCCACCGAAGACCCTCCCATGGGTGAGCCAAGCTTTCCATTATCCCTTGTGGAAGTAAATAAAGCCACAGCTCCAACCTGTGCACCTCACAGTACCTGCTTCATTGAGTCATCTTCTTGTACAGTGAGGAACATAGCATCATAAATTTAGAGCTGGAAGGGATCTAAGAGGCCACTGAGTCTGCCACACTTCTTTTACATTTGAGGAAACTGAGTCAGAGAGGCTAAGTGATTTGCTCAAGGCCACACAGCTTATAGCCTCTTGTAGGTGTCTAAGATGGGATTTGAACCCAGGTCTTCCTGTTCACTATACCAGGCCCCAGAGAAATTAAATAAATTGCCTAGAATCACACAGCTTAACACTTGGTAGTTCCAGGACTCTGTTCATCATGAGCAGCACCAGCTAGCTATAGGCATTATAGGTGCAAGTCATGCAAGACTGGAATCATTCTCAGAAGCTTTTTGCTGAGGCCTGCAAGTTTTCCAGTCCAAGATAGAGATAGGAGTAAATCCTGCTGTTCCTCCTGCCCAGACTGACCAGCCTATTCCTTATCTCTAACCCAGATTTACCAGCAAATGGCTTCAGCAGTGGGAACCAGCCCGTGAAAAAGAGCTTTCTCGTATATCGGAATGACTGCAGCCTCCCCCGGAGCAGCTCTGACTCTGAGTCCAGCAGCAGCAGCAGCAGCAGCGCCGCTTCTGACCGAACCAGGTACTCCGCTCCTCTGTCTGAACTCACATTCCAAGGTGTCCTGGGGAGAAGTCCCTGCCACCCTCAGCAATGAAGGCAAAGAACTGGATTTTGTCCTTCCTTCGCTATCACCCTGTAAGGTTTCTGCTTCCTGGAAGGCTAACTTGAGCTTCTGACTATTCCTCACAGCACAACCCCCTCGAAACAAGGCCGAGGCAAGCCTTCCTTCTCCCGGGGGACCTTCCCAGAGGACAGCAGTGAGGATACGTCTGGCACTGAGAATGAGTCCTACTCTGTGGGCACGGGGCGTGGTGTGGGGCATAGCAGTAAGTACCCATGTAGAGAGTCAGGGGAACCTGGTTTTGAAGCTGTCTCTCCTCTGCTACCCTTGATTCAACCTACTCTTCCATTTTCTGTGCAGTGGTGAGGAAGAGTCTGGGCCGGGGACCTGGCTGGCTATCTGAGGATGAGGATTCCCCGCTGGATGCCCTGGACCTGGTGTGGGCAAAGTGCCGAGGGTACCCCTCGTACCCAGCTCTGGTAGGATCCTGCTTCTCCTACCTTGCCCCATGCCTTCTGCCCTCACCCCACACCAGCCCCAGCTACAAGGCCAGGAAAGTGATCCAGAATACAAACTCGAGGTTAACAAAGAGTTTCCGAAGCCCCACTGGAGCCACAGAAAGCCCAGGGAGCGTGAGGGGTTCTTTGCAGGCAGACAGATGGACAGGTGCAGCTCAGGGACCTGTCTCCCCAGCTTTGATGTGGTATACATTTCCACCCTTGTGTATCACATAGGTACTCTGAACGGTCTCATTCATTCTCCCAGGCATTGTGGCTACCCAATGCAGTTATGGCCCAGGGGTCATAAGGTCTCTGGGGCCTTGTAGCCCCTCAGTTATCAACAGTGATCAGTTTCTCTTTGGCCATAAAACAGTGGTTAGACTGGCCAGAGTATTAGGCAGGAGGTTCTGGGGGGAGGGAGAGGACTGAACCAAGCTGTGCCCCCAATCCGTCAGATCATCGACCCAAAGATGCCTCGGGAGGGCATGTTCCACCACGGGGTACCCATTCCCGTGCCCCCGCTGGAGGTGTTGAAACTTGGGGAGCAGATGACCCAGGAAGCTCGTGAGCATCTCTACCTCGTCCTCTTCTTTGACAACAAAAGAACCTGGTAAGGGGAAGGGGGAGGAAGTGATGGGTTAGGGAGGGGAATTAACACAACCTATAAGGATAGCTCTCATTGTTGCACAGAAGTAGGGTCCAGTAGCAGACAGCCTGGCAAACTGTCTGGTAGAGAACAGTGAGTAGAAGGCTGAGACTGATTTGAGCAGAGCGATTCCAGCCAGAAATCAGGAGTCCTTCCATTTGTACCATGGACAAGACTTGGTCACTGTAATAAAACACAGGAGATCTGATAATATATAATATGTATTTGCTGACTGACATCCTGGTACATGCCAGATAGGATAAGAAAGATGGAAGGGAATTTTAGTCTATCTGGCCTTCCTGAATTCATTTTACAGATGAGCAAACTGAGGCTTACAGAAGTTAAGTAACTCACATATACAAGTAATAAATGGCAGAGCTGGGAGTTGGACCCAGGCCCTGTGGTTCTAGAGTCAGGGCTCTCCCCACTGGATTGTGCTTTTTCTGCCAAGATGCCAGTTGTCATGTCTGACAAAGTTCATGCTTTCTAAGGCATGGTTGTGGACTTCACAGATTTTTACACCAGGAAGGGACCTCAGAAGTCATCTCGTTCAACCCCCTCATTTTACAGACTGGGAAGCCACCATGCTGGCTTGTCTAGAGGTCACACACAGTTCAACGATGGAACTGGAATTTAGACCCAGATCTCTTTAACTTCTTGGGCATTTTCCACTGTATCACCTTGATGCTCCCTACCACCATAGGAGACAAGATAGAGGAAGACCTAGGAGAGAACCCTGGGGTCCCAGATCCCAATTTTATCACAACCACATTTGCATTTTAGTCCTTTCTGTAGAGGATAATTGGGGCGGAGTTATCTTGAAAACTAGATTTTTGGGTGGGTAGACATGTGGAAAAGGTTCCCGGTGCTCAGTGTTTTGGCCTTTCACTTCCTCACTTTCCACAGGCAGTGGCTCCCCAGGACCAAGCTAGTTCCTCTGGGAGTGAACCAGGACTTAGACAAGGAAAAGATGCTGGAGGGCCGCAAGTCTAACATCCGGAAGTCAGTGCAGATTGCCTATCACCGGGCCCTGCAGCACCGAAGCAAGGTGCAGGGCGAGCAGAGCAGTGAGACGAGTGATAGCGACTGAAGCTGCCTGGCCTAGCTGCCCTCCCCTCCCTGGTTCTAGAGTGGCACCCATCAGCCTCTGCACTGACTCATTCCTGGTCTTGGGGCCAGTCTCAGGGGAAGCTGGGCGGGGGTGGTCCCGCTCCAAGTGCAGCTGGACTGTACAGGACACTCCAGGGGTCCCAAGCAGCCTCCGCCAAGGGAATATCCTCAAGCCAAAAAGCCCCCAGAGCATTCACCGAATGGGAGGGAGCGGACCTTGGCTGGACCCTGACAGGAGGCCCGGCACTCATGGTGTCACCCACCCCGCCTCACTCTGCGGTGTCTGGGGCCCCTTTGGCCCCCAGAGGCCTCAAGGCCACTGCAGCTCGGGTTCGGACCCGGCCTGGCTCTGCAGCGGGAAACTCGCCTACGTCTGTCTGCCCCGCCCTGAAAGGGGGGGTTGGGGGGAGTGTGTGCCTGATGACCCTTATGCTACTGTACATACTGTAAATTAGCGGAGAATTTAAATTATTCTCATTTGTAACTGCGTTTCGGGGTCGCGCCAGAATCCTTTGGCACTAAAAAAGCCTGGGGCTTGTCCCCAAATCCTGTCCCCGCCTCCCCCACGGGTCCCCGCCCTTCAAATTGGTTTGTATTTATTTCGGAGGAAGAAAATATATTGATTCTTAGAAAATAAACGGTCTACTTGTAATCCCGCTTCCTGCCAAGGGGGGGGAATTCTAATGGGCTGCCGAGAGGCTGTTGGCGGGCCCAGCCGCGGGCGGGAAGAGAGGGGAGAGACTCCGACTAGAGTACGCCGCCCGCGACACCACGGCCTCGCCCCCAGCCCTTCACTGGAGTCCTCCCGCCGTCCCCGCTTTCGATAGGCTGATGTCCTTCCCCAGTGGGTGAGGACGCTATTTCCGGTGGTGGAAAGTCTCAGATTACGGAAGTATCGCGTGAGTGGAACGCCTCGCGAGTTTTTTGCAGCGACTTCCGGCTTTGCGCAGCTAATCGCTGCGCCAGGGTGAAAAAGCAAGAGCGAGGAGTGAAGTGGCCCTGGCGGGGCAGAGATGGTGCGCCGCTTTGATAGGAAGGACGTCAGCCAATCCTGAGCTGGGGAAAGCAAATGCTCCCCGCAGAGCAATGGGCGGGGCTTTGGGTGGGAGGAATCCAGAATAGGCGGGGTTTGGCTCAGTGAACTTCAGAGTGGGTGGAACGTTAGGGAGAGGCGGGGTTTGGTGGGCGGGGCCTTGGGAGGAGGCGGTCTTTAAAGGGCGGCCCGCGGGGTTTCTGACATTACGCAGCGCGGCGACCCGCCTGGCTCCGGGCGGTATGCGGCATCGCACCCTCGCCTCGGCCCCTGGCCTGTGGGCCTCCATCCCTTGTCCACGCTCCGAGCTGGACCTGGGCCTGGTCTTGTCCTCAGGCCAGTCCTTCAGGTGAGCGAGGGCGCCTTCGCAGCCCCACGTGCCCCAGGGGTCGCCCTAAGTCCTGGGGGAGGGGCGTCGGGGAGGGAACCCCCTCCCAGTGCTGGGCTCACCGGGGGGCTCTGTCCCTCTCCCTGGGCTCAGGTGGAGAGAGCAGAGCCCTGGGCACTGGACGGGGGTCCTGGACGGCCGGCTGTGGACCCTGACCCAGACGGACGACCGGCTGCACTACACCGTGTACGGGGAGTCGGCCGGGCCCGAGGCCCCGCAGACCCTGCGCCGCTTCTTCCAGCTCCACGTCCGCCTGGCCGACCTGTACCGGCACTGGGCCTCCGCGGACCCCCACTTCCGAGAAATGGCCCCGAGATTCCCGGGTAAGCGGGGGCCGGGACGCCCGGAGAGCGACGCCCGAGGACGGCTCGGTCCGGGTGACGCCCCGCCCTCCTTCCCCCGCAGGGGTCCGGCTGCTCCGACTAGACCCCGTGGAGTGTCTCTTCTCCTTCATCTGCTCCTCCAACAATCACATCTCGAGGATCACCGGCATGGTGCAACGGCTGTGCCAGCACCTGGGGCCGCAGCTGGGCCGGCTGGACGGCGTCTCCTATCACGGCTTCCCCAGCTTGCAGGCATTAGCTAGTGAGCCAGTCCTCCTGCCCAGCTCCCCAAGCCCCCGTGACTCCCCATAGGTGGATCCAGACTTCCCGGCATGAGCCCCTCTCTCACCATTTCTGCTACTGCAGCCCCCTTGGCTGAGCTGCTCGCTGCCCACCTCAGAGCCTTGTGTGAGGGATTTGCGCCTGACCTGGCACCCCTCAGGCACATGTCCAGACAGCCTTCTTACACCTCCAAATCCTAGCATTTTCTTCAAAGCCTGGTGCAGTGGGAAGAACACCTAGGGATGGGGAACCTGCAGCCTGGAGGCCACATGTGGCCTTCTAGGTCCTTGGGTGCAGCCTTTTGACTGAGTCCAAGTTTTATAGAACAAATCCTCTTAATGAGGGGATTTGTTCTGTAAAGTTTGGCTTCAAAGGGCTGCACTGGAGGACCTAGAGGGCCATATGTGGCCTCCAGGCCACAGGTTCCCCCATCACTGATCCTAGTCCAAAACTTGGGTTAAATCTTGACTCTGCCCCTTACTGCCTGCCTGACTTAAGTCATTCCACATTTCTATTACTCATTCCTTCATTTACAAGAGGAAGGGGCTGAGCTAAATGATCTTTAAATCTGTGATGCTTTGATCTTCCCCAAGCCTTCCCAGACTAGCTCCACCTACCCACCTCCACTGTTATCCTGTCACTTTACACTTTTAACATGTCTTTCTGTAGGCCTTATGTTTTTCCATATCTGTGTTCTCCATGAGGCTGTAAATTCCTAGTCACAGTTGGGGTGGGGGCGTGATGGATGCATGTTTCCCACTTGGGCATCCATTGACAAGCCCAGGGTGGGGAGTGTTCAGCTCATCATCTTGCCCACCTCTCCCTACAGAAGCTGAGGTGGAACCTCAACTTCGGCAGCTGGGTTTTGGGTACCGTGCCCGCTATGTGAGCGAGAGTGCCCGTACCATCCTGAATGAACGAGGGGGATCCAGCTGGCTGCAGCAGCTACGTTCAGCATCCTATGAGGAAGCCCAACAGAACCTCTGCTCGCTGCCTGGGGTTGGGGTAAAGGTAAGCCTGGAAAGATAAGTGCCCATGCCCTCCCTGGTAACACACACACACACACAGTCATGATGCGGAAAGATTTGGGGTGAGGTGAGGCATAATGAAAAGTGGACTGGATCTTGCTGTGTTAAAGGTGGCCGACTGTGTGTGTCTCATGGCCCTGGACAAGCCCCAAGCTGTGCCTGTGGATGTCCACGTCTGGCACATCGCCCGCCGGGATTACAGCTGGCAGCCCACTTCCAAGGGTCAGAAGAGCCTGAGCCAGAAGGCTAGCAAAGAGCTGGGTGAGAGGTGGAGAGGGAGGCAGAGGGGCCAGGGAGGGGAGTTGCCAACAGAAAAGGAGCAGATTGAGCAGTATTCCTTCTACTTCAGGAGACTTCTTCCGGAGCCTGTGGGGTCCGTATGCTGGCTGGACTCAAGCGGTTAGTGTCTGACTCCTCTGAAGTCCCCCAGCCTTTACTCCATTAAACCACACACACAAAACCTCATTGCATTGTTCCTCCACCCCCTCCAGCTCTGAGCCCGTTGGGCTCTCCCTTCCAAGGGAAGACGCTCTACCCCAGTTCCTTTCCCCAGGTGCTGTTCTGTGCAGACCTCCGACAGATCCCCAAACCACAGATTCTCCAGGCAAAGGCAAAGTCTCGGAAGCGCAAAAGGGGGGCCTCTGAGGAGAGCAGGGGCCCAATGTCAGGGCAAGAGGACACTGGAGACCCAGGGTGACAGGAAACTGCCCCACTCTTCAGTACCGTCAGAGACCCTAGTTCCTCAGCAAGATCAGATCCCTTCCTCCCCTCTCCCCAACCCTACCAAGCCTTGGGTTTGGGGGTTCCCTGACTTCCAGCATCTACCTCAAGGGTACTTTATGTCCCCATAACAGATGGTCAGTGTGCACTCTTGGGATGAAAGCTGAAGGGATGAAATAATCCAATGGTTTTAACCTCTTCCCTTTAATAAAAGAATGAACAATAAAATAGAAATATTTGTTTGGAAAATGGTTGGATACCTTGACCAGAGCACGGGGAGAAATAAGGAGCACTGAGAGAGGAAGAAGGCCAAGTGATTCCACCTCCAGCACCTTTCTCCTCTCTTCTCAGGGCCCTGGCTCCTGCTACAACTTCCCTGCTCAGCTCCCTACCCTTCCTAAAGGTCAGGCTGACCAGGGTGAGGTGCTCGAAAGGGGATCAGGAAAAGGATCCAAAGCCAGGGCAGATGGGGTACAGAAGAGGCCAGTCATTCCCTTCAGGAGAGGCCTGGACTGAAGTGGACTCAGGGAGAGCCATGGGAAGGGAGAAGAGGAGGCGGCTTCCCTGGGGACATGATGGGAGGGGAGAGCAGAGGGTAGCTTACCCCCTCCCAAACACTGGGCAACTCTAAGCCCTACTGCCCTGCAGCATCCTCTGGGGCATGATGGCTTCTCTTTGGCAGGTTCCCCCCAGCCCCTTGCCCAGGAACTCGCCCACCACCACTACTCCTCCCCCCTCCAGTTGGCCAGTCCCCAGCAGCGGTGGTGAAGGCTGCTCAGAGCTGGGGTGGACGAGTGGCCGGCAGCTCCAGGGAACACTCTGCACAGCAGTCCCTGCAGCAGCCAACGTGGGGACCTGGCAAGGGAAGAGCACGAACCTCAGAGGGGGTGTCAGTAACGGAAGGTGCCTCTGGGACAGTCGGCCTCCCTTCCCCACAGTGTCGCCTCACCCCCGCCCGTGTCAGGGACCAGCAGCTCCCCGTGGCTGGTGGTTTGGCCAGGTCCGGGTCCATCCTGACTGGTGCCAAGCTGAAGCCGCCTCATGTGCCGTACCACTGCTGTGGCATTGAAGGCTTGCTGGAAAGGGATAAGCCGTGGAGGAAGTTAGGGGACTGACCCCAAAGGTCCACCAGCTTGGCCTGGCCCGGGTGCCCAGGGAGGAATGAAGGCAGAATATGGGGAGTGCTCGGTAAGACTATAGACCTAAAGGTGGCAGTCTGGTCTGGGGAGGCCCAGAGAGCCCCTGGCTCTAGAGCTGGCTCCGTTTTTCCCCAGTGTGGGTCAGGAGGCTGGAGGGAATGGGAATGGGTAGGGTTGAGTCAGGGACTTGGGAGGGAACCTGAGGCCAGGGTTGCAGCATAAGGCTAGGCCTTGGCAGGTACACGAGGAAGAAGAGAGGCTGTGGCACGGGACAGGCAGAGGAGAGGCTGATGTGACAATGAAGGAAAGTGGGGCAGAGGAAAGGGCCACAACTGGGGGTGTAGAGAGAGGCCAAGGTCAAGGATTTGGGCAACGGCCCACAACCTCACCTTCCATTTGCTCTTGGCAAAGTTCTTCTTGATCTGCTCACTGACAGACTGGTGGATGTTTTTATCCAATGCAGTGTCCCCAGCAATCCTAAGAGGAGATGGGGTGGGGGAGCTGGTAAGGGAGGGTGCAGAGGTTTGGGGGCAGAGCTTGGGGAGAGGGGTTGGGGCCTTCCTCACCATGGGTGTTGCAGGGCTTGTTCACAGGTGAACCTTTTCTCAGGATCTTTTTCCATCAAATGTCGGATAAAGTCCTTGGCTTGGATACCGAGGCAGGACAGAGACATAGAGAATGCAATTCAATTTAAAGGGCATTGATGGAATGCCTGCTATGGGCAGCGCACTCACTATGTCAGGTGAGAAGAGATCATAAGGGTCAGTGAGTTCTGCTCATGACTGCAAGCCCAGCCTGGGCTCCTCTCAGCACGCTCCCCTGTCCATCCACCACTTCAGTCAGTAAACCCGACTGGATTTGGGGCAAAATCATAAGTGGGAAATTGTCATTGGAGGTTCCTCTTGCCCATTCAAATGAGCACCTCCTCTCAAAACCTGCTGTTCTGAAAGGATTAAAGACATTTCTGACCAGAGAGAAAGATGCCCAAGAATAGTTTAATGCACTGTCTCCTTTCAGTGACATTTGAATTTTAACAGAGAGCGAGGATTGGAACTAAACATTTCACACATCATCAGACCAGCAGGAAAGGATATTGGTTTTTCTGTGTTTTTGTGGATTTTAAATTTGGCGGTGGGGGTGAAGCAACTGGAGATGTTTATACTAGAGAAGACTGAGGGGGGAGGGGAATTGTAAGGGTCTTCAAGCATTTGAGGGGCTGTTAATCAGTGGAACAATTAGATTTGCTCTGCATTGCCCCAGAGAGGGCAGAACCAGGTGGAAAATGCAAGAAGAAAATTTAGGCTTAATGTCCGGAAAAGCTTTCTTACAATTAGCCCTGTCTCTACCTGAAATGCCTTGAGAAGGTGTAGGTATCTCCTCCTTGGAGATAGTCAAAGTAGAGGCTGGATGACTAACTATATGTCAGGTACGTTCTAGAGGGAATTTCCTTCATGTGCAGTTTAGACTAGATGGTTACTGATGGTCCCTTTCAATTCTTGAATGGTATGATTGGGGGGAGAATTGGGGGTTTTACAAAGCCTCTTCAGGACCCTAGGTAAAGGCTATCCCGCCCACAGCCTCAGGGGGTCTTCAGTTTCTCGTGGACAGTGGCTGCGAGGCATGGCAGAAAGGCAGTCCCACCAAAGCTTTGGCAGGGTGCACAGGAGCAGTAAGTCTGACCCTAGAGGCAGGTGCCTTGGTCTGGGGATGGCAGTGCAGTGGAGGAGAAGAGGAAGCAGCATGTGTGAAGCAACAGGAAGGACAAAGTGAGAAATAGCATCAGTACCTGAGTCAGAGATGTCGTCCCAGTAAGGAGAATCAAACTCGTACTCAGCCTTCAGTATCTGTTCGAAGAGTTTGGCATCGTTCTCGTCATAGAAAGGAGGGTAACCACAGAGTCTGATGGGGGAAAAGGAGGAAGTAGGGAGGAGAACAGTGTGAATCCCTGACGTTCCCTTACACTTTCCCCTTCTCTTTATCCCATTCAACCCTTTCAACTGTGAAGCAGGTCAGACAAAATTTCATCCTCATTTTACGGATTATGAAATGGGCCTAGAGAGACCGAGTGACTCGTCCGGTGATTTGTCAGCAAGTTTTCTTACCTCCAAATCTAGTGTTCCGAGTCTCAGAGTAGGAGGAGAGGAGGAAGGGAAAAAGGAACAACTTTCCCTGTGGCCCAGCACATTGGAGCTCCAGCCATGCTCCCTCCCCTCTCCCCACCCTGTACTTGGGCCTTTCACTCACAGGATGTAGGCAATAACACCAATGGACCAGCAATCCACAGCTTTGCTATAAGGTTTCTGGGCCAAGACTTCAGGGGCTACAAAGGTGGAAGAGACGGTAGTCACGACAAGGTGTGGTAGGAGGGGAGCACGCCCCCAAAAGCTGCAGCCATCCCTCCAGCCTTTGGACACAGGACTCTCGAGGCTCCCCCAAATTGCCTCTCACGTCGCACCCCCAAGGCCGCTGGCTCCTTTTCTCCACCCCTAGGCTTTGCTTCATTCCTACCTACGTATCCTGGAGTGCCACACGCTGTGGAAAGCACACTGCCTGAGCCTTCCATCTTGGACAGCCCAAAGTCCGAGATCATGATCTTGGAATCTTCCTCCAGGCTGTAGTAAAGCAAGTTCTCTGGCTTTGGGTGGAGAATAACAATAGTAACCTATTTGTATGTGGCTTTATCATTGGCACCATGCTTTTGCCTATATCATCTCACAGAATCTGATTTGGAAAGGACTTCAGATGCCATGTTAATGAGACCCCTAAAAAATATTCATACCCTACTTAAAGACTCCTAGTGATAGGGTGCTTACTATCATCCGAGGTAGTCCCCCATTTTAGAGTCAGCCCATTACTGCAGCCTGTTGCAATCTTTTTGCATCTTGCATCTGTCCTCCGTATTAACTCTCCTTCCTAGCTGAAGTCATTTGCAAACATGATAAGCATGCCATTTATATCTTTATGTAAGTCACTAATAAAATGATCTCATTCCATCTTCACAATAGCCCTGTGAGGTAGGGCAGGCACATATTGTCCCCACTTTACAAATAAGGAAACAGGCCCTCAAAGGTCACGTGATGAGTCAATGACAGAGCCAGGATTAGAACCTGACTCTCAGTTCAACACCCTTCTCACTACCTGATCCCTTCCCCCAACCTTTCCAGCTCTGATCCTCATCCCTTCCCCCAGTTCATTTACCTGTCACCCCCTTCCTTCAAACTCCCTCATAGCCTTTCTTTTTAATTATGTTTTAATTTATTAATTTTAAATCAAGTAGTTTTTTTCTTTTTAAATTAATGTTTTATTGATGAGGTTTGTTTTTACATCGAAGTTATTTCCAGATATACCCCCACCACCCTCCAACCACACACCTACTAAATAAGCCTTTCCTCTTAACAAAGAAAAATAAATTAAGCAAACCCAATTAACACAGCAATCATATCTGACATCAAAGGAAACATACACACCTCCCACCACCAACCATCATCATCACCTCTCTAATGAAAGGAAGCGGGGTGAGAATTTTCCCAACTCTTCTCCAAGGCCATGATTGGTCAAAATTATACATCATTCAAGCTTCCTCATTTCTTCTTCAACCCTTCTCACCCCATTCTATTCCTCATTGCACCCCAAAGAAAAAAACACAAACCCTCTCTCACCTTGAGATCTCTATGTACAATGCCCATGTCATGGAGGTACTTGACAGCATCGAGCACCTGGCAGATCAGTCGGCTGGCATCCCGTTCCGTGTAGAAGCCCTTCTCCACAATTCTGTCAAAGAGCTCACCCCCAGACACCCTGAAGTGAAAGGAGCAGCTACAGGCAATGCCTTCTCCAGCTGTGCGTGACACTCCCTTCCCCCGGGTGTAACCTATCCACAAGGCCCTCCTCTGCCTTCCCCTCCGATGCTAAGGGGAGGAGGGCACCTTCAGAAGGTTAGAGGGAAAGGGAAGAGGCTGGATAAGAACAATGCCAAAGATGTTCAGGTCTGATCTGAGGCATGATTAAGGTCAAAGAGAAGATGGCGCAAGAATGGGATCATGGAAAGACGGCAGTGTGGGGCAGCCGGGAAGATGGGAGTGTCCAGAAGCTGAGAAGGAAGGGGCAGATGTCCTGGTCAGGGGTGATGCCAGAAAGGAAGGTGGGAATGTCTGAGACAAGAGTGGGGCCGGGAGATGGAGTCACTAGAGCAGGAATGAAGCTGAGAAGGAAGTAGGGGGAGGGTGCGGGGAGGGCTGGGTCCTCACAGCTGCATGATGAGGTAGAGGTGCCCGCCACACTCATAGATGTCATCCAAGGCCACAATGTTGGGGTGTTTGATCCTGGAAGAAGAAATGAAGGAGGAGGTTCAGAGCTGAGGAAAGGCCCAGAGGCCTCTCTCCACCGCCTACCCAAACTTAAGTGGGAGGTGGTGGACAGCGCTCTTTGGAGCTAAGGACCATGCCACTCCAGGAAACAAGAACGGGCAATGCTACCCACTACCAGTTACATCAACACGTTTGAGGACTTGTGACTTTGGTGATATGAGGGTTGTACCTGCCAACTCAGGTCACAACCCTGGTTGACTTGGGAGACAAGCTTTGAGAGTTGCTGGGACCAAAAAATGAAAACATCACCATGCTGACTAGACAACAGACATACATAAAAACATACATGCAAATGGTCTGTCACTGGGCTTGCATTCAAAGCCTCCCCAACTTGGTAGGATCTGCCAGTCTACACTATACATACCACCATGAAGAAACAGGGAGGTCACTAGTGGAGAATACTTAATACCAGTATTTAAGATCACTTTGGGTAATTATAAATATTTTATTTTTTGTCAGACCTGTGATTTCATTGAAATTATTTAGAAAAAGTTAGGCATCCCCTTCTAGGCAAGAAGGAAACAAGCCTGTATTAAGCACCTACTATGTGCCAGGTGTTGTGCTAAGCACTTTACAAAAATGATCTCAAGTGATGCTCACAGTAACCCTGAGAAGTGGGTACTATTACTATCCTAACTTTACAGCTGAGGAAACCGAGGCAGACAGAGGTTAAGTGCCTTACCCAGAGTCACACAGCTAGGAAGTATCTGAGGCAGGATATGAACCCAGGTCTTCTGGATTCCAGGCCCAGCCCTTCTATCCACTGTGTCCCCTAACTGCCTCTACTAATGCAGATGGCAATTGTCCTGCAATTAACAAGTTTGGAGAGCTGCCCAGGGCAATGAGAAGTTGTGCTTTTGCTCAAGATGATATAGCCAGTATGTGTCAGAGATGGGGCTTGAACCCAGGTTTTCCTGGTGCTCTGTTGACTGCACCACAATGCCTAGGATCCTCAGGACTATCTCTCATGTATTTTAATAGGCCAGCAATAATAGGTAGCACCAGGCAAACATTTGAGGTTGCTGGAGCTCATTCCTCTCCCCTAGCACTGTCCAGAACTGGGGATTCAGCCAGCCCTGGCCAGGTGATTAACTCAAGGGACACCAGGACTGCTAGTCTATTTACCTGACTCTGTTGTAACATCAGGTTAGGGAGACCAGATTCATCTGGGCAACAGCGGAGGAAATAATCCCAGCACCGGCCTCATCCTCAGCACCATCAGAGGGCACGAAGGCCAGACAGGATCAGGCCAGAAGCCAACGTGAGGGGCCTGCCTTATGGTCTGACGTGTGCTGAGCAACCCAGAGAATAAATCTGGGAACTACTAGGAAATGCAGGGCCCTGGCACAGGTCCTGAAACCATAGGCCAGAAACCCGGTGATGAGAAAGCTAAGCCAGGAGTCATGCCACCTAGGGTTCTCAGGCAGCAGCATTGTGCAGCAGATGGAGTCAGGATAATCAATCAATCAATCCAAAGAAACCCAAATAAAATCCTTCTTCTCACATTTACTAGCTTTATAACTCTGAGCCAAGTCCCAAACTCAATAAGCCTCATTTTCCTCATCTGTAAAATGGGGATAATAGCAACTACCTCACAGAGAAGCTTCAACGTGATAACAGATGGAAGGCAGTTTGCAAACTTTGAAGCCCTACATAAACGCCAGTTATTATTATTAAATCTGTTATTGACAGAAGCTATTAACCGCTTGATCAACAATTAGGTCCTCGGCTCAGACGCCAACAGTACTGACATTCCTCAGGACCAGAATGGTCAGGGCAATGATAATAAATGAAAAGGCAGTGATGGGTTTGGACAGGACAAGTATGGAGTGGCTGGACTCAGGCAGCGCCAACCCAAGGATGGAACCCAAGGCACAGGGGTAGGGCTGGGGGCGAGTCACCATAGGAGACAGCCCAGCTCCCACCCACTTATGAAGCACGGCAATCTCATTCTCAATGCTGCTCTCCTTGCCCTCCAAGGCTTTCTTGGCGATGCATTTGATGGCCACGAGTTTCTGGGTGGTCTTCTCTTCAGCCAGTATCACCTCAGAGAACGCTCCTCTGTCAGGGCAAAGAAGGGTGAATGGTGAAGCAGGGTAGGCGGAGAGGAAATGAGGACCTGGGTCCCAAGCACACAGGTGAACAGGAGGCTTACAACAACTCCCTCCTTATCAACAACCCCCCAGGTCATGGGACCTAAAGGCCATGAGGCCCCCCATAACTGCCCACCCCCAGTAGCTCCCTAGCGTAGTGTCCAAGAGGTCAAGGGGAGACAGAGGGAGGGACAGCCCATCCTAAAGCCATATATTTAACCTTCCCTGGCTGGGGATGGACAGTTCCCTGAGGTCCTTCTGAGTAGTAAGTCTTAGCATGCTGGACCTGCAGTCAGTAGGCTTGGGTTCTAATCCTGGAGCTTGGTCAACTTGCTGAGCTTCTCGGGGCCTCATTTTTCTGTTATATAAAATCGGGGTAATGAAGTATACGGGCTCTACCTACCAGGGCTGTTTAAAGGACAGAAAGGACAGGCAGGAACTTTGAAAAGCATTTTGGGAATGTTAGGGACTATAATCATTATCTGCCTTCTTGCCTACTCCTTTCCAAAATTCGAAGGCCCCCAGCCCTTTCTTCCCTTTAATGTGTTCTCTGTACCCTCCTGCTAGAAAAACCCTACCAGCAAAGACTCTGAGAAAATCATTCATACTAAGAGGTAAAGGACTTACGACATCTTTAATGGGTGACCCCTCTGGGGGGAAAATGCACAATAACGGGACAAGAGGGCCAAAGAATCAATGTCTATTGGTGCAACGAGAATGTAGGATGAAGAATTGAGGGACTGTGGGGAGGATCTTGGCTGCCCTGAAATCACATCTGAGGCTGACCCTGTAGATGGAGTAGAAAGGGGAAGATGCTGCAGCTTCCTCATCCCCCCTCCAACCAAACCCCACTATTATTCTTGCCTGGCTTGCACAGAGTAACAACCGAAGAGCAAGGTAATGGTAGAAGATGGGAGCACCCTGGGGGGCTAAGAGCCTCAGGAAACTCTGGCAGCAGAAATCAGTCCTCTTGCACACAAGAGAATCATTTTGGGGAAAGAAGCTGGAAGGGACACTGGAGACCATCTGAGGCTTGGGGACCACAGCTGAGTTAAGCAGTGATGAGAAGACCTAACCAGCCCAGACTAGGCATCACCTATGGTTCTCATGTCTCAGGGACAGGCCGATCCACTCATCTGTCACCAGCTAAGGGCCGTCTGCTACCCTAAGCAGACAGGACTAGGGCCCATTCCCCATTTCCCATCCCTCAGTACAAGACTAAAGCTGTCACAGGGCAGGCTCAATGTACTTTGAACACCGACTCTTCCCACTGTCCCCATAGGGGAAGCCAGAAGGCAGTCATCCCTACCCTCAATCTTCCCACTCCTCCCCCACTTCCTCTTTCCTTCCATTCTCAGGCTCAGATACCAAGATCTGTTGCAAGAAGAACGTCCGAAGGCTTCTCTCTCCCACTCGTTTCTCCCTCCCAACCAAGTCTAGCTTTAGAGGTCTTCCCAGAACTTAGCACAGAAAGGGCCTGGAGGGGGTAGGAGATGATGAAGGGGGAAGGGTCTAGGTTGGCCCTTAGAGGAGGGATGGGAATGGAGGAAACCCCTGACCTGTAAGTCTAGGTATTTTCTGTGGTCCTCTCTAATACCTCATAAAGAACCTTAATCTGGATTCTTCATTTTCCTCTCTTCCCTCTCTCAAGCCCCACCCCCACACCAGTTGGGCAGGACAAGAAGCGAGGTCTCCCGCTGGTCTGCAGATGTGTCCATGGGCAGTTCCATGGGCGGAAGTTAGCAGGAAACAGCTGAGGCGCTGGTCCAGAGAAAAACACTTCCTGACAGTCTAATGTTGATACCCGAGGCCCAGCTTGGGGGAGGTAAGCCCCCTTATCTCTTCCCCTAGGCTTCTGATACATTTCTTCCAGGCCTACCTAGGGATGGTTTGAGATTCCATCCCAGCCCCTCTCTGTATCCCTGCCAGCTCTTAGCACCAGCCCTGCTTATCTTCGAAAGAAGGGAGAGGGGGAACAAAAGGCATCACTTACGTGCCCAGGACATCCCGGAATTCATAAATGTCCCGAATGTCATCTGCATGCTTCTTCCAGCTGGGTCCATGCACTTCCCGAGGCATTGCCCACTGCCAACTGGCTGCAGCCAGGGCTCCTGGGGGATGGGATAGCTTGGGCTCAGTGGGAACATGGCCTCTCCAAGCCCCCACTCCTGCTTTCTCTTTCCCAATTCTAGACCAACCTCCTTCCCATTCCTTTCACCTCTTCATCCCTTGAATAACAGGGATTCATTTCTTCCTCTAAAAAAACAGGGGCCCAGATCAGAGCTCCTAATGTCTCTCTCTCACACACACACACACACACACACACACACACACACACACACGCACCCCTCTCCATAATCCATAATGTAATGATGAGAACACTCTGAAGGGGCCTGAGAGATGACTGAAGTTCCCCTGGGTTGGGAGGGTCCTTAATCACAACAGTGATCCCCTGGGGGTATGTCCAGGGTATCCCCTCCTCCCCCTCTCTTAGAAAACAGGTTCCCTGCTCCCTCTGCCTCCAGCAATATTCTCAGCCACATTTTTAAATAGCTCCATTTGCTCTGTTGCCATGACAACAGCAGCCACATCTGGAACAGCTGGTACTCCCTCATCCTCCCACCTCTCTTCTGACCGTCATCCCCCACTCCTGCCCCACCCATGGCAGATTCCTGGACCTCTGGGCCTCATCCCCAACCCCTGCTCTTAGATTCTGGCCTAGAAGAGCCCCCAGCCCTCCTTGATCTCCACCCCCCACCCCCTCCCTGACACACAGCTTCCAACTCAGACTGGCATGAGATTTGAGGTTTCAGGGTCCTCTTGCACCAGGCCAGGCTAGCCTCCTGCACTTAATCCTCGATCCCATGCCCTGCCTTCCCTTCCCCAGCAAGGGGCAGAGGGTCTCTATCTCCATCAGCTTCCATCCAACCAACTCAAATTCATCCTGAGCCCCCACCCAATGCACATGCCAAATCTAGGAGTTCTAAAAAAGACCCAGGGAGGATGGAAAATAAGCAGTAATTCCAGTTCTCTAGTTGGGGAAACTGAGACCTTGCGTTACATAAGAGTTTGATTCAATGTTTCCCCAGGAGGTTCGAGAGTTAATCTCAGTTCTGCACCCTAAGCCAGAAGGGGACTGATCTGAGAAGAAAATATTAGATGGAAGGGTGATAGCCCATGATAATGGGAGCTCGAGGGAAGCAGCAACCAGAGCTCTGCACCTCAGCTTTCTCACCTGTAAAGGGAAGGGCTTGGACTGAATGATCGCTAGGGTCCCTTCTCTCTTTTCCATTCTCTGAATCTATGGGAATCAGGAGACCTGTCTTCTAGCACCAACTTCACCGCTAATGAGCTGTATGTTCTTGGGTCCATGACTTTCCCTAACTAGACCTCAGTTTCCTCATTAAGAAAAGGAAGACGGGCTGTCTGATCTGTAAAGTCAAAGACCAGAATTTACAAACCTCCCAGAATTAACACTTTGACTCTAAAGGGGACCCCTGGACACCCAGGGATCCAGATGTAGAAAGGGTGGAGCTTCCCTGACTCTGGTCCCACCCTCAGCCCCTCTGGCCACAGCCTGACTCCCTCAGACATCAGGCAGGCTCCATAGTGCAGACCAGGCCAGAGCCTAAGTTTGGGTGGCACTATTGGGCTCACCATCGCCCAGAGAAGCCCAGATGTTCAAGTATCAGGAACCACAGGACAGGAACAAAAGCAAGGTCTTTCCTGAAGGCAAGGCATCATCCATGCCTCCCTCACAACCTCCCTCTGTTACCCCTCTATACGGCCAACTTTCCAATAGATTCCCCAAAGCCCAGAACCCCTCTAAGCCAAAGAGAGTCCAGCCCCGATGAAAGTTCTGGCAAAAAAGAGGTCCCTTTCCTTTGCCATGCATATTCCCCCTCCCCACCCCAGGCTCCAGAGCCAGAAAGGGGAAGATGAAACTTACTTGGCTCTATGAAAACCCCTAGTACACAGAGATCCTCTACCATAGGACAGAGCCACAAATCTAGGCACATGACCTAACCCATCAACACCTGCATAAGCAGATATGCCCCCAAATCTAGATATGCCCTTATACTCCAACACACACACACACACACAACCTCCAGAACAAGAGAGGTTCAGCCCTATACTCCAACACCCACATACTCTTCCACTTGGACACACCCTAATACTCCTATAAAAGACGGGGAGGGGTTGCACTATATGATAGATAGCTCCTCTCATCCATCTGGACACCCTATGATCCTCCTGTAACCCAAACACACACACCTTCAATAACCATATACCTTTCCTTGCAAACATACTATTAATACATACAATCTGACACACTGAATCTTATCCATCCCTTAGGTCTTACACACAATACAAACAGAGAGCGACATATGTTCGTGCAAAATGCTGACTCTTGTCTAGGGAAGGGGAGCAGCTGTCCCAGGCCCAGAGATCTGCACACCCATCCAAGGCAGGACCAACTACCTTGCATGGCCCTACCAGAGAGCAGACTGACCCTGTGGGTTTGAATCCAGGGGAAGAAGTGTGCCGAGGCTGGCTCACTTAACCCCTACCTCACCCCTGCCCCATTTCAGTTTCTTTATCATTCACTAAAACATATCTCAGCCAATCCTTCATCAGAGATTCAGACTAGATCTCCCGGGATCTCCTAGGAAAAGCTGAGAACTACAATGCTCCCACCTTCAACCTAGAGACACACCCTACCTGCTCCCCCCCCCCCACCTCTGCTGGGACAAAAAACGGGACCTTTGTTTGGAAGGGAAGGCTAGGGGCAAGGCCGATAGCTGACAAGGGGCAAAGTTCCACACAGGTGCTCCCGGACAGAACAGGTGTATGTGCTTGGGAGCCCCTGAAGTCGGGGTGGAGGGAGGGACAGCTGTGGAGGAGGCAGAGTATCAAACCTGCAAGGAGACTTTCCCGATCCCTCAGTCAGGGGCTTAGAGCTTAATTCTCCTTTCTGCTGCATAGCTCCTTCCTCAGCACCCCACGGATGGGGCTAGGCTCAGGGGACAGGAGGGGAGATGAGGGTCGATTCCCCGTCGGAACCCCAGGGGAGGAGCCAGGTGAGGCCAGAGCGCAGTCTCCCTCAGACCTTGCCCCGGGCTGGGGGTACCCAGGCGACTCCCTCCCGCTTACCTGAGGCTGCCCAGCAATGGGGGGGTGGGAGGTGGGGGGGTGGCTCCTTGGGTCGCTCGGGCCCCCACCCCCACCGCCTCCCGAGGCCGCCGCTGGCCCTGGCCCCGATCTCCGAGCCGCGCTGCCCCCGCTTGCCCTCCTTCGCGCTCGCTCCGCGCTGCTTGCAGCCGCCGCCTCCTTCTCCCTCCTCCTCCTCCTCCTCCTCCTCCTCCTCCTCCTCCTCTTCGCTCAGGTCCCCTGTGCTCACAATCAACGGCCGTGGTGGCTTTTCCTCCGCCCCCTCGGCGGCCGGACGCTCAGCGGGTTTGCTCTGATGTCAACCGGGCGGAGGAGGAGTTTGGGCGGCCGCAGGAGGGGAGAGGAGAGGAGGGAGGAGAGAGGGAGAGGGGAAGAGAGGAGGAGAGGGGAGGGCAGAGGCGGGGCGCGGAGGAACCCCTATAGAGCCGTACGCGGGGAGTGGACACAGGGGGGATGCGCAGCGAGAGCCGAAGACCTCTAAAGATGAAAGGCGAATAGACTGGGGGCCAAGGAGAGGGGCGGCTGCCTCTCCAAATCGTGGACCGGGCAGCTCTGCAGTTGGAGCTACTGAGGCTCAGAGAAAGGGGAAAAGACTTGCCCAAGGTCGCACAGGTGGTAAGTGGCAGAATGCCTCCTCAAACTCGAACTCTGGCTCCAAATCCACTGAGCACATGCCGTCTGCTGTTGCCAGTTATCTTTTTCTGCTTATTGGTGTTGCCATGTGATGGATGTTGATACCAAGGGTTTTGTGGATTAGGGCCAGGTTGGGCAGGGGAAGAAAGGCACCAAGTCTCAAGCTTTCCACAGAAAGGAGTGAAGAGAGGTGCAGCCTTGGAGCCCAAAAGACAGGGGCTCAAGGCCTGCCTCTGACACAGCCCAGCTGGGTGATCAGTAGCAAGCCACTTAACCTCCCAATGTCCTGGGGCCACATCCCCGAACTTCTTCAGACTTCCATAGTGTCAATTGCAGAGCAGGACACAATAGTGGATGCATATTTATTGGTGCACTGGTGCACAGAATTAGAGTTAGAAGAGGCTTAGATCTATTTTTGTTCTGTCGTTTTTTCAATTGTGTCCTAGTCTTCATGACCCTACTGGGGTGGTTTGCCATTTCCTTTTCTAGCTCGTTTTACAGATGAAGAAACTGAGGCAAACAGGGTTAAATGACTTGCCCTGGGTTGCACAGCTAGTAAGGATCTGGGGCCAGATTTGAACGCATGAAGATGAGTCTTCCTGACTCCAGGAAGAGCGCTCTATCCACTTCAACACCCAGCTGCCCCTAACCTCTCTCCTGACCCCCAATCTAACAGCTCCATCTCCCCATTGGACATATCAAACTGAATGTCCCATAGATATCTTAAACTCAGCATATCCAAAATTGAACTCATCTTTCCCCCAAATCCTCCATTCTTTCAATCACCCAGGCTAGCCACCTTGGAGTTATCCTTACCTTCTCACTCTTACTCAACTCATCTATCTAGTCCAAGGGTGGGGAACCTTTGGCCTCAAGGCCATATGTGGCCCTCTAGGTCCTCAAGTGTGGTCCTTAGACTGAATCCAAACTTCACAGAACAAATCCCCATAAAAGGATTTATTCTGTAAAACTTGGACTCAGTCAAAAGGCTGCACTCAAGGACTTGGAAGGCCACATGCGGCCTCCAGGTCGTAGGTTCCTCACCCCGATCTAGTCTGTGGCCACATCTTGTTTCTATCTTTGCAACATCTTTCCTATACATTCCCTTCTCTCTCCTGACATAGCAACCCCCCTGGTTCAGGTCCTCTTCACCTCACTTCCTGGACTATCACAAAAGCCTCTGGGTTGGCCTCCCTACCTCATCTCTCCCCACTCCAGTCCATCCTTTAAACAACCTTACAAAGTGATCTTTCTAAAACTCAGATCTGACCATACCAGTAAACTCAGCAAACTCCAATAGCTTCTTGCTACCTCCCAGGATCAAACATAAAATTCTGTTTGGTTTTTAAAGTCCTTCTCAACCTGGCCTCTTCCAACCTTGCCAGTCTTTTTACACCTTACTCCCCTCCCCATACTCTGTGATCCAGTGACACTGGTTTCTATGCCCTGGTCGTATTTCTAACATAACGCCCCGACTCCCAATTTGTGCCTTTTCCCTGGCTGTCTGCTGTCCTTGGAATGATCTCCTTTCTCTTCTCTGCCTCCTGGCTTCCTTCAAGTCTCAGCTAAAATCCCACCTTTTACAAAAGGCCTTCCCTGGTTCCTCCTCAATTCTAGCACCTTCCCCCTGAGATTACCTCTAATTTACCCTGCATATATTTTGTGTCTATAGAGTTGTATGTTGTTTCCTCATTAGAATGGAAGCTTCTTGAGGGAGGGACTGTTTTTGCCTTTGTCTCCCCATGGCTTAGCACAGTACCTGGCACAAAGTTGGCACTTAATAAATACTAGTTGATTTGACTTGACTAATTGGCTGACCAAATGAATAAAGAAAACGGAAGTTGGGGTTCAGTGAAGGAATTCATAGAAGGACCAAGTAGGAATGATAAGCTATTTAGGTGAGCTGTTCTCTGGGCTTATTCCAGTCTCAAGCTATCATTAATTATCTGTGTCGTATGTTTCATGGATAGTAAAAGGCTGAGTGGTCCAGGAAGATCATGGCAGGCAGGGAGAGGCTGATCCATTTCTAAAGGACTCTAGGGTGGGGAAGGAAGAGCTGTGAAATTCTCTGATTCTTTCCCTTCCCTTCCCTTCCCTTCCCTTCCCTTCCCTTCCCTTCCCTTCCCTTCCTTTCCTTTCCTTTCACTTCCCTAGTCAGCAAGTGTCCTTCAGGACTGGGCCCCTGGAAGTATGAAGCAGAGGATGGGTAGAGGTGGTTCAGAGAGCTGCAGGAGGGGCAGGGCATGTGGGAGAAAGGACCTGGAGTTTGTTGAAATCAGGTGAAAGAGAACAGCAGGTCACCATGTGATAGGTGTCTAAGCCAAGAGTTTCATGGATTGTAGCCACATTAGGCAGCAGTGGGTGAGGGGCACCAAACCTTCAGCTTATTTGGTTCCTCCTTGCCAAAGAACAGAGTACTTCCTGAGATTATGAGAGAAACAGGCCGGAAGCCAGAGAAACAAGACTGAAGCAAGGTTATCCAAATGAGTGTCTCAGGAAAAAAACTGAGGAAATAGCAGGGGTAGAGAAGGGAGGAGGTTGCTTGGAAGGACTGAAAGACTTAGCCTTTAGAAAAATTAACAGTTTTCTTCCTTTGCAACCCTATCCTATATTCAGTCTACCTGCCCTTCCTAATTCCTCCTCCTCTTTGCCCAGGGCTGAGTTTGAGGAGAATATAAAGATTTATCAAACATCTATTGAGCACCTATTTTGTGCAATGCATCCTACTGTGTGGGGTGGGGGTGGGGGTGGAGAATGCATCCTGGATCCTGGGAATGTGGTGCCCTCCAGTGGCCAGGGTCTTATCCCACAACCTATGAAGACAGGACCTTTTCACCCTCAATTTCTCAGGAATAGGTTCCCTATCCCTGGAAAAGCTATATGAACTGGGTGTTCCTTCCATTGGTTTGAGACCAGGACACTACAGGTGGGTTCAAGAAGACTGGAAATCTCCCTTTGGAGATCCCAAATCCCTTGGGACCTTAAGAACACTGTAAACCCAATCTGAACTTTTCTGGAGCAAAGGTCCCGGACACCGGAGAGAACAGACAAAAGACTCTAATGAGAGAAAAAGCTGAGACTCGTAGAGAAAAGAAAAATATAACTTACATATGTCTTTTGCGGTTTATGATTTACAAAGAGCTTTTCTCCTCATACCAGCCCTGTGAGGTAGGTAGTGTAAAAATTTTGTGAAGAAGCTAAAGCAAACAGATTAAGTGATTTACAGAACTAAAGGTTTTAGAGCAAGAAGAGACCTTACAGATCTCGTTCAACTCTCTCATTTCACTGATTAGGAAACTGAGCCCCAGAAAAGGGAAATGATTTGCCCAAGGTCACACAGAAAGTGAAACAGCAGAGCTTAAATTCAAATCTAACTCTCTTTAACTTCTAATCTAGTGCTTGGTTTCTGGTTTCCACTGCTTGCCTTACATAGCTAGTAGGACTTAGATCCTGGTCTTCTGACCTTAAGTTAGGGCCCCAAATTTAGTCCTTCCACTACCTGACTACATGAGATAAGACCTCTTCCCTATTCTCAGAATACTCTCCTCCTCATTTCTACCTCTTGGAATTCCTAGCTTCCTTTAAGATGCCTTCTCCAATTCTCAGTTGTTTCCCCCACCCCACAAAACTTTTTTATTTTGCATTGATATGACTGTGTATATATTGTTTTCTACCAGCAAAATTTAAACTCTTTGAGGGGCAAGAACTGTTTTGCTTTTGTCTTTGTATTTCTAGTACCTAGGCAGGCATAATGCCTGACATATAATAAATGTTTGCTGAATTGAAGAAAACAAGGTAACAGGCCACAAGGGAAAAAAAAATTGTCTTCCTGAATCAAGCCCAAAGTTCACCCACCCCACCTTAATAGGGGGCCCAGAAAATTTCACCCCTTCTAATTTTGCCTGGGAGACTAAGGGTGTTAGTCTGAGACAAAGTTCTCTCCAGGGATATTGGTATCAGAGAAATAGCCCACCACTTAGTGTTATTCTTTTAATGATTCCATAATTTATATGGCCTTTCTGCTAGTTTGTTTTAATCATAAAACTCCAAAGTTTGTTTTTAAAGTAAAGCTTTATTTTCCCTAAATATTCTGAAGGGTTTATCCCACACATAGGAAGGAATGACATCATTTCAGAAGTTTCCTTGGGAACCTTAAATGTTATTAATTTGATAAAACACCTTAAGGTCCCTTCATGTTCAAAACTTGTCCAGATTTCTTTATCTCACTTGAAAGATCAGAGCCACCAAATCCTACAATGTCTGAAGATGACATTTGTAACCATCATTTGCACAATGAGAAATAGAAGCTTGGATGGGGTAAGGGGATTCAGCCCTCACAACCAATGAAATCCAGTTGTCATTATGTCCTACTAAAAATTAAACCAAACTAAAAACATCCCCCACAGAAACAAAGAGTTTAACTACTATTCATAAACCTTCAATTTCACCAAGGTAGTTTACACTAGGAGAATAATTATTACATTAACTTTTTATAGGGTCGGATGAAATTAAGCAAAAGTTCCCCACCAAGGACTTTTGCTTAATTTGATCTAGCCCAATATAAGTCAAGTTTTCCACCCCTGACATTTTCTGGTTTCTTCACTGGCGTCTACAAATACACCCAGATCTCTCCTCTCCTTCAAAACAACAAAAACCCCCTTACTTGAACCTACTACTTCAAGTTCACATCTTCTATCCCCTGCCTTTGATAGTCAAGGGATAGGGACTAGACCTGGAATTTCTCTTCCTTTCTGGCAGCTTCTCAGTCTCCTTTCCTGGACCACCATTCACTTCACCTTAACTGCAGATGTACCCTTCTAAGGGTGGGGAATCTGCAGCCTCAAGGCCTTGGGTAGTGCCTTTTGACTGAGTCCAAGTTCTTTTACTAAGGGGATTTGTTCTGTGAACACCTGAGCACCTAGAGGGCCACACGTGGCCTCGAGACCGAAGGTTCCTCACTCCTGCTTAGGCTCTCTGAGTTGGGTACTCTTCTCTCTTAAAGACCTCATCAGTTCCTATGGTTCTAGCTAGCTAGCTTGACATGGTTTAGTCATTTCAGTCATGTCTGACTCTGTGACCCCATTTGGAGTTTTCTTGGCAAAGATACTGGAATGGTTTGCCAGTTCCTTCTCCAGCTCATTTTACAAATAAGGAAACTGAGGCAAACAGGGTTAAGTGACTTGTGCAAGGTCACACAGCTAGTAAGAGTCTACGGCCAAATTTGAACTCAAGTCTTCCTGATTTCAGGCCTGGCACGTGACCTTGAGGCTGCAGGTTCCCCACTCCTGCCCTTCACAATCTGGCTCCTGCCTACCTTTGTAGACAGTATACATTACTCCTTTTCAGAGACTCTAAGCCTAAACTGGTCGACTTGCTGTCTCTCCCACACTAAACACCATCTCTGGCCTCTATACCTGTGCCCTGGCAGTACTCCCCACCTGGATTGAACTCCTTTTTCACTCTCGCCTCTTAGAATTCCTAGTTCTCTTCAGCCCTCAGCTAAAGGGGCACCTCCTACCTTAGTCCTTTCCTGACTTTCCAGGATGCTGAATTTCCTTTGGACATATTTGGTATCTACTTATAAACGTCTATATTGTCCATTCCTTCTCCTCCTGTAGGATGTAAGCTCCTTGAGGGCAGGGGTTATCTTGGTTTTATCTTTACACCCCCCAGTGCCTGACACATAGTCGTCATTCAACAAACATTTGTTTTGTTTGTTTTTGCTTTTTGGTGAGGCAATCGGGGTTAAGTGACTTGCCCAGGGTCACACAGCAAGTGTCAAAACTGAGGCCACATTTGAACTCAGGTCCTCCTGACTCCAAGGCCAGAACTCTATCCACTTTGCCACCTAGCTGCCCCTCAACAAACATTTAGGAAGCACTTACTATGCGCCAAAGATTGTGCTAAGTGCTGGGGATATACACAAAGGCAAGACAGTCCTTGCTCTTAAGGGGCTTATTCCAATGGAGGACACTAGTTACATGGCTGGTTCAACTTAATAACAAAGAAGAGGTTCATAAACACAATACAGATTAACTATGATTGCATGAAATGCAGCTATATCCTAGAGGCAGCTAGGTGGTACAGAAGGTGGCTCACTGGGCCCAGAGTCAGGAAGACCCGAATTCAAATGTAGCTGGGCAAGTCACTTAGTTGCTGTCTGCCTCAGTTTCCTCAACTATAAAACAAGGATGATATACTAGCAACTACCTTCCAGGCTTGTCCTGAGGACCAAATGATATCATTGTAAAGCATAGCACCTGGCACACAGTGGGCACTTAGTAAACATTCGTTCCCTTCTCTTCACCCCCACCCCCACTGTGACTTCTGGGTCCAAGGTGTATATGCTAAAGCCTCAGGCTCTTTTCAATTTTTCAGGCTTTCTGCCACTTCACAAGCTACATCTCTCATGACAGGATTGGACTAGATGCATCTGAGGTTCCTTCTACCTTTTAAACCTATGATCCTATAACCTCTTACCATTTTTTCTTTCCCGATTTTTTTGGTAAGGCAATTGAGGTTAAGTGACTTGCCCAGGGTCACACAGCTAGTAACTTCTTACCATTTTTGTTGAAGTTCCAAGGTGTGCCACTGCCTCCACAATTTCTATCGCTAAAATAACTTTCTTGCTGCCCAGGTGGGTCACTAATTAGAGTGACCCACCTGGGCAGCAAGAAAGTTATTTTAACATCTTCTAGGTTTCGTTGTTTTCTCTGAACATTGCTACATCCACAATGCATTTATAATTCTCTTTCTATGACCCCACTGAGACATGACTTTCCTAATAAATGATTTTTGGGGATGGGGGTGAGGGAAGGATGAAGAAAGAATTTAGTGTAGGGGTTAATTATGTGTACAGAAAACCTTACAACAAAGGAAGCTGCCAAGGCTCGCCCTGAATCCTTTTAAATTATGTATTTGCCTGGGTTCAAGCACAGATTACTCATTCCCTTTGCCCATGGGTTCATTCATGCCTTTTGTCTCTACAGGTTAAGAAACTGACTTTTGGGAAGCCCATGATTTTCTGCTGCTAGCAAGGATCAGCGAGGGCTGTGTATACTAAGCCACCCTTTGTGCTCTCAGGTCCTTACAATGGGGAACTGGAAGGACCCCAAGTGTTAGGACAGTAATAACAGCGGACATTTCTATGGTGCTCTAATGTTTACAAAGCACCTTCCTAATAAGAACCCTGTGATCCCCTTCTTACCTAGCCAAACCCGTCCGTAAAGGCCCTCCCCAATGAACAAACAGGCTGTATTCCCAAAGTTAATTTGTTAGCTAGTTTGGAACTTGGAGTTTCCTCCTAGAAACAATATTATAAATGTTTATATTCCCAGGGAAGTTCAGAAAAGCCTACTTAAATAGAAAAACAGCCATGCTACATGAGCTTCCCACTGTTTGAGATAACACCTTCTAAATTCTGACTGGGAAACTGGGGAACACCCCAACCCCTCCTCTACTACCTTGCCAACGAAGGAACAATCTTGTGTCCTTCCCGTGGCGTTTGGGGGACTTGCATTTCCCCTCCCCTGACCTCCTTCTCCCCTCATCCCTCTCCCATCCCCTACTGCGACCCCAAAGAGGGATTTCTGGCAAAGGTGGCTCTTCAAGCAGAAAGGACTGCTCCCCCGGGAGGGCTCGGCCTCTCCTGGACCATCTGGATCGGTGAGCTCTTGCTCTTGCCACCCCCTTTGCTTGGGGTCCTCCCCTTCATTCTCTTAGACCAGGCTCATTTCAGTTCCACTCTTCTCCTCAGATTACCCCAGCACTTCTAGGCCACATCCACTGAGTACCTGATTATATTCTGCCCTTTATCATTCTCTGATTTTTCACAGTTAAGTCTTATCTCCCCAAGAAAATGGAGAGTTCCTTAGGGCTGAGAACCATGATTTCTGCTTCTTTTGTATCCCCCACAGCACCTAACACATTTCTAGGCACATAGCAGATGCCTGCATCAGGAAGGCTCTGGGTCCTGATGATAGCAGGGTCTTTGTGCTGTCCTTTCATTTCCCCCTTCAGTCTCAAAGTGACAGATGACTCCTATCTCACCCCATCCCTCCCATTCTGCTTCCTTCTCTCCACTCCAAGAGATGACACTGGGACTTGTATTATGTTCTTAAAAACCAGAGCAGTCTGTTTACTCTAAAGTTCACACCTCAGAAAAACATGGTCAAAAGTCCTTGGAAGAAAAGAGAGGGAAGAAGGGACAAGAGCCAGGCACAGGGGAGAAGGGAGTCCTAGCCCAAGACATCGATCTCTCATCAGAAGCCAAGCACAGCCTGGGGCCAGCTCTGGTCCAGCTGAGCCCTCCTGCTCCTTGGCTGCGCATTGTCTAAAACGTCCAGTGAAGAAAGGCAGCAAAGAGACAGCAGCTCCCACCCATTCTGCCAGAGGAAGGGACCAGGGTCTTCCCATTCTTCTAAGCACTGAGGTTTGGAAGAAAGAGAAGAACACAGAAGCAGGGCAGGAGCCAAGAGGCCCAGCCTGGCTATCCATCCAGAAGCTTAAGGATGCTCTCCCGCTCCTTCAGCGTCTTCCACGCCTGGTCTTTTTCCTTCTTGGTGGGAGTCCTCTTCTTTTGCCGGGCAGCCATAATCTTCCTGAAGGCATCCATGACCTCGTTGTCTGCCATGCGTACCCGCTGCCTCAGCTCCTGACGATTCACTTCTTCTTTGGCCAACCTAAAAAGACCACCACACTTGTTCAGTCCCAACTAGATTGGAGAGTATCTCCGACTCTTCTGCTCCTTCAAAATCCAAACCAAACTGCATCTTCTAAGAAACCTTCCCAGTACGGACCAAATCAGTTTACTACTTTGGTCCTCACCCAACACAGCTGAGCTCTCCAGGACCCATTCCACTCAAAAAACAAAAAAAAAAGTTCTAGTCAACTGCCTAATTTCAAAACACCCCAAGATTCTGGCCAGAACCTGGGTTTCATCATGAAGCAGTCATGGAGACAATCCAATGAAACCTATGGATCGCTTCTCAGAATGTTTTTAAAAGCATAAAATACAATACAAAGGATTACCAAGGAAACCAATTATCTTTAAAGTTATCAAATATTAAAATAAACATTAAGTGCACAGACCTTAGGTTAAGAACAGCTATTTCAAAGGGATTTGAAAGCTGTAAGTTATACATTCTTATCTTCGTGTTACTGTGATTTATCTTTTGTTATCTCATTTTCCTTGTTTTCTTGCTTAGACCATAAATACCCTGAGAGGAGAGAATGTCTTTTTTTCAGTCAAGCAAATCTTTGCACACGTACTATATGAACGGCCCCTCTGTTAAGTGTCATAGGAATACCAAAGGAGGATAAGACCCAGTCTCTCCTCTGAAGAAATCTGCCGCCTGGTCATTTTCCCTCTAATCAACTATTAAAGGGCACCCATTGTTTTCTAGGAGACTGAAATTCTGACCTAGACTTTGATACTAATTAGCCACGGGACATTAGTCAAGTCACTCCTCTTTGAACCTCAGTTTCCTCCTATGAAAAATGAGGGGCATGAGATACATAGAGGGAAGTGAGGGGAGATGCAAAAGGTAGTGTATCCTTTTTTGTCTGTTTCTACCTTAATCTCATGTGTTTTTTGAAAACTGCACACAGCAGGAGTCCATAGTTTCTTGCTCAATTCTCTTCCCTGTTCTTCTATGTCGTGAAATGTTTGTGATTACTAATCACAATAAAAAAAGAAAAAACGAGCAGGACGTAATACTGTAAGGTGAGGTCGTGTGTTAAGTTTTGCTAAACCTTTTTTCTTTAAAGGTCACTGGGTAGAGAAAAGGGATATATATAGAAATGACTATGATGTAACAACGAAAGATATCAACAAAACTTTTTTTAAAATGGGAGTTTGGACCAGATTATGTCTAAAATCCTTCCAGCTCTAATATTCCAGGATTTTCTCCCACAACATTATCCCCTGATGCCATGCCAGAGTTATGATTAAGCTGGATTGACTATGTATCTGCCCCATCTGCTTAGGATTCCTAAAAGCCTCCAACATGCAGTTCAGCACTACTCAGTGGGTACCCCAAAATACCCCAAACATTGATGACTCCACACTGATGATGATGCAAGGTGAAGACCTGAGACATCCTTATAGTCCCCATGAACTGGCATGGCAAAAAAAATTCATCACCTGGACGCCAAATCTCTGATGATGAGCCCCTCTGCACTTAACTGGGTGATGGCTCCTGCCACTCAAAGCCTTTCCAACTCTGTAGTATCCACCAACGGCACAGACTTCAGGAATTCAGGGCCACCTTCACCCCACAATGAGGCGTCACAGAAAGACCTCAGAGGGCTGAATCACAGCAGCTTCTATGCACTTAGTGTCATCCCCACAGATGTATGTGGGTGGCACTTCAAGTCAGACGGTGAGTAACACAGCCGCCCAAAGAGTGTCTATCAGTGCAGGTAAGTGACTACCCAATGACCTAATTCCCAATGATGCTTCTACGCTCATGCCCACCTCAGGAGATCATGCTTCTTGGTTCGGTTGTGGGCGCTGAGTGCCTTCAATTCAGCCTGCCGCTTCCGCAGCTCGGCAAGGACCTCATCCTCCGAGTCCTCAGCAGGCCTGTCCTCAGACTCCAGCAGGCCCTGGGCTATCAGCTCCTCCTTTATTCGTCCCTCCAGAGACTTGGTATGGGGAACACTGCGGATGGATCAGATGGCCACTGTCACCTCAACTTCAACTCATGACACCATCCTCACCCATTAGAGGACCCAGCCCTGTAGTTGCAGAAAATACAACTGCTTCTCGATCTAAGCAGCAGCTAACGATGAGGTCCAAAGACTCTCACTTCCCACCCCTGTCTTCTTCACTGGAGGCCTCCCCACTTGAAGTCAGAGACCCGTAAGAGTCAGCTGACCCTCAGACAGAAGAATGAGCAGAGGTTGGGAAGGGATGGGGTGAGGATGGACAGACAGGGGGAACGCTACTCGCCTGAATGGCTTGTTCTGATTTCTAGGGGAAGTACTGGCACCATCAGCTCCGGATTCCTTGCCAGACACATCCGGGATAGGGGAATCTTCCATGGGGGAGATGATGTTTTCCTAGAAGGCCACGCAAGCAAGACAAGTGCAATGACTCTACTATCAAGCTCAGTTCTGTCCCCACACAGGTCACCTTCTTCCTACCTCCCCGTCTTTGACAGGTCATTCCTTCCACAAATCACACCATCTCTAAAAGAGCCTGTTCTCATCTAACTTCCTCCAGAAAGTCTTCCTAAACTAAGAGCAAGTCTTCTGGCCACTACGATCATGCAACAAATACCCTCTTCCATAGCACTTATGAATGAAAAAATGTAGCCAAATGTGGCTTGAATAGATAAGGTTCTTAGGTTTTTTCCTCAGGTATCTATTCTGTATCCCTTCCCTTCCCATTAGACTATGAGTTCTCAGAGGACAGGACACCCTAACTCTTCCTCTGACATTCCCTGGCAATTTATGTCCCACGAAAAAGGCCTCTACAGGATGGCACATGTTTGCTTGGAGGTTATCTTAAGGACCAGCTCTTAGGACCACAGAGCTAGTAGTGGAAGGAAGCTTAGAGGTCATCTGGTCTAACTCCCTAATTTTACACATGAGGAAACTAAGGCCCACAACAGTCAAGTTACTTGCCAAAGGTCACACAGGTAGTGAGAGGCAACATTTGAAACCAGGTCCTCTTATCCAAAGCTAATGCTTCTTCTCATGTCAAACGGCCTTAGTTCCATTCTGAGTTCACTGAACCAGGGCACCGAGGGCACCCCAAGACTCTGGAGCCTCACCTCCACCAAAGCCTGTAAGAGTCGTTGAGTCAGGGGGCCAAAAGGACACCCATCTTCAGGCTGCTCATGCTGGGCCTCTGATTTCTTAAGCAATGCGTCCACATCTGGAACCAGAGAGGGGTAGAGGATACAAAGGGGGCAAGTGGACTGCCAGGGACAGCTCAGACATTCCCTCTGGTCTTAAAGGGATGAGAAAGTGAACTGACTAGACTAAGGAGAATACCTTTAGTGTCCAGTTCAGTCAGTGGTCCCATAATGCCTTTCTTCTTGTCAGCTACAGCTGCTGCCCGGGCCCCATCCTTCTGTTCTTCCAGTAAATCCTCCTGGGCCCAGCGCTGGGAATAATGCTTCCCCAGGGGTGGGATCTGCATGGAAAAAGGAAGCAACCAACCTCAATAGGATAAGGACCAGTCAAACCAAAGAAGCTTTTTTGTGGTTTTTCCTTCCTTATTCAATGTGTTTCAGAACCAGAGCTTGAGGTGATCAAAGCCTCCGACTAAGACACTCCCTGCCCAAAACAGGGTCTGACAAGGGGCGGTGCTCAGAGGGGTCTACCTTGTAATGCTCAGCCTCATCTTCTGGGGGCTTCAGCAGCTCTTCCAGCGTTCGTACTTCCTCACTAGTGATGTCAGCACAGTATGGCTCCACGGAAGCCCAGAACCTGGGAGTAGAGCCTGGCCCTGAGCACAGACAGTCCCCTCGCCTATTATCAGCCACTGTATTAAGTGCCTGCTAGATGGCTGGGCCCATTCTACATGCTTATCAGAGAACAATGACAGCCCCCAGGAGATCAGAATCCCCCCTGGCGTCCCTCCCAATTCCTGATAACCCATTTCCCTTGACTTCTCCCAGCCCTGCACCTGTTAGGAGCATCATTCTTGGGAATCCTTGGCACATCAATGGGGTCATCTGTGAACTCATATTCCTGGATCTTGGGCTGGAGGTTCTTGGACTTGGGCCGGCCAGGGCCGGGACCGGGCCCATGACCTGCCTTTCCTTCCAACTTTTGTTTTTTGGGCTTGCCATGTTTTGCAGGGGCTCCCAGTTCATGGTCCCGGCCCAGCTTCAGGAATCGCCGGTCACCTTTCTTATCCTGCCAGTCAGTCAGGATCTGAAAGACAGACAGATAGTTACTGAGGGAAAGAAGGAAGTCAAGGGAGTCACTTTCTCCAAAAAAAAAAAAAAAAAAAAAAAAAAAAAGCTGGAACCTAAGGGACATAAGCCCTCAAGAGCTGGTGGTTACCTCTTGATGTGAACTATAACTCAAATATTCATCTAGGCAGCCTTCCCAGCATGATCCCACGCTGTTAAAGCACTTCCCTCGCACTCACAGCAATTCATGCTGGTGTCATTGTGTACTTATACATTTTCTTTTACATATAGCCTGCCTCCAAGCGTGTAAGCTTCCTCTGTCTTCTCTAACTCCCCAAAGTATCCTCACCCATAGCATGAGTATAATGACTCCTGCCTTATTCCATTCCTACTTGGCCTCACTATCCAACCTGCATTCTCCCCCTTCTCCTTCCAACCTTTCACTAGGGCAGGGACAAGTTAAAGGAAGAAGTCACCTGGGTCTCAGCCTCCAGCACCCGAAGACGTCGGCTGGCTGAGGAAAGCAGGTTCTCCAGCTCCAGCTGCAGGGTATCAAGCTCCTCGATGCCGATGCCATCGTCTTCTGAGCGGGCCAGCACCGCTGTATATCGGGGACATACCTTCAGGTGGTCCACTGACTTGAAGTCATGGAACTGCAGTGGGCAGTCCTTTAGCTCACTCATGGCCTCTAAAGGGCTGGAGAGGCAAACAGTCAATTGACAAGAACTGGGAGGTGGTGTGGCACAGGAGGACCTAGATGGGGAGGTGATGGCCGGGGAGAGCATTAACTTCAAATGTGAGCAGTAATTCTCCTTTCCACTTTCAAGATGTCACTGCTCTCTTTCCCCCAAAGTTGACTCTAATTCTACTCCTGCCTTTACAATCCCCAGTTATGTCTCCCACTGGGCTCTTGTCCTTATTCTTCCTATCTCAAAAATTGTTTCCCACTTCCACAACCCCTAAATTTCTCCCTCCTTCCTTTCCCTGTTCTTTTTCATTCTTCTTTTTCCTTATTCAATTCAGTAAGCCTTCATTAAGCACCTGCTACATACCAGGTACTGTGCTGGGTACCAAGAATACAAAGATAAAAAGAAAATAGTCTTTGCCCTTGAGGAATTTATATGCTACTGAGGGAAAACTATATACACATAAATATATGCATATGTGTGTATACACACATATATGTATATATAGATACATACACATATATGTGCAAATAAATCCTAAAAAACACAAATTAATTTGGTGGATAGAGCAATAACAACTGGGGGAAAGTGATACATGATTTTTGTAGGAGTTGGCATTTAAGTTGAACCTTGAGGATCCTAGGGACCTTTGTAAAGACAGAGACAAAATGGCGAGTGCTGGCAAGAGTGAATAGGCAAGGAAGGCTAGTTTGGTGGGAGGCAGAGTGCTAGAGGAAGAAGAATGAACCTGAAGTCATGAGGTAGATAAATTTAAATGACAAACAGGAGTTGTCCTCTGTGAGAGGCAATAGGGAGTCACAGAAGTCCCCTTTGTATGATAAAGGGCATGTGAGTAAATAGAAGAGGACAGATTTGAGAAACGTTATGGAAATAGAATCGCCAAGACCTGGCAACTGGTTGAATATGAGATACGAGAGAATGAGCCCCAGGTTTTGAACCTGGACTACCAGAAGGAGGGTGGAATTTTGTACTTATCTATGCACACAGTTTCCCCTCAGGAGAATACAGCTGACTCCCAGATACCAAAGTGAGTGGCAGCAGGGCCTAATGAAGAGAACACTCACTAGAAATAGGGAAGTTAGGAGGAGGGATAGGTCTAAGGAGAAAGTTAGTAAATTATGTTTTGGATGTGCTGAGTTTGAGGTGACTATAGGACATCCTGGAGAAGATGTCTAGCAGGCAACTGGTGAGACAAGGCTGAATCTAAGAAAGATGAGGGCTGGATTTCATAGGATCATAGATTTAGAGTTAGAAAGGACCTTAGATGACACGGAATCTGATCCTTCCCTCCCCACCCTCCATTTTTCAGAGAAAACTAAGACACAGAGAGGTTCAGTGAATTGTTAAGGGTCATACAACTAATGTCTAAGGGAAGATATGAACTCAGATCCACCTGACTTCAGGTACAGTGAGTGCTCTATCCATTAGGCAATGCTGCCCTTCAATTTAAGATTGAGGAGTCAGCTGCATCCTCCTGAGGTGAAACAATATACACACAGCTAAGTACAAAAATACACATAAAATAAATGCAAAGTAATTTGGGGCAGGGAGCAATTACAACTAGGGGAAATCAGAAAAAAACCTTTTGTAGGAGGTGAGAGAGACGATAGCTGAATTCATGGGAGCTGCTGATATCACCAAAAGAAAATATGGAGAGGAGTGAACCTCAGTTACAGCACCAGAGGACACTTAAAAGTTAAGAGGTGAGCTATGATGCTTCTGCACTGAGGCCAAATCCTCTTGATTGATGATTAAATGCAACCCAGACCACCTGAACACTGTATCTATTAAGAGGCAATCAGATACCATTCAGCCTTCCATCTTAATGTCTACCTTGCACCCTCAACTTTCTACTACCTTTGGCACAGTTTTCAAACCAAGAGTGCCATTGCTTCTGGAAAGGACATGTCAATTGACTGCCCTATATACAACAACTCACCATCCTTGTGAATCTTCGGACCAAAACTCTCTTCCCTTACCATGTTTGTTAACCTCCCCAATTAGAATGTAAGCATCTTGACAGCAGGGACTGTCTTATATTTGTATTCCCAACACTCTCATCCTCTCCAGGCTACATTCTGGACTTTCTCTACCATGCCCCAACCTAAAGCTTCTTTCCAGTCCAGGAACTCATACTCTGGAAGTAACCTGGGTCCCTGAAGCCTCTCTCTCTGATTGGATGGTTCCTCATCGAATTCCCATTTAAAGAGGACTGCCCCGGCCAAGCATGTCTCATTCCTCTTCAGGCTGCACTCTGAATTTCCTCTACCAGCCCTCCACCCCATCTCCCCCTATTAGAGTGCATGCTCCTAGAGGGCAGAGACTCCCTTTCTACATGTATTTGTATTCCCAGCACTTAAGCACAGTGCCTGGAAGTCACAGCTGCTTAATAACCAGGATTTGCTTGTTGACTAGACTTGGCACTAGTATGTCCCTAATGAATGTTCATTCATTTGTTTAAAGCATAGGGAGGAGAACAAAGAAAGAACATAAAACCCAAGGGAAGGGAGAGGATCCAGAAGATGATTAACATTGTCAAATGCAAGTGTCAAGAAGAATGAGGACCGGAGAAAGGACAGCACACCGCAAGGATCTTGCTCTTACTATGACCTTCCCGCAGGTTCCCCCTCCTAAACGTGCCCTTCCATCCTCCTCCACAGCCACCCCTAACTCTTCTTACTGATGGTACCACAAGCCCTTCCCCCCTACTACCGTTCCCTGACCCCCCCCTCCCCGATCCCATGGTCTCCCCTCAACCTTTGGCTCCCAACACCCCACGCCCCCTCCCCTCCACCCCCCAGGTCCCCTCACTCCCTCACCCCACGCCCCCTTCCCTCCACCCCCCAGGTCCCCTCACTCCCTCACCCCACGCCCCCTCCCCTCCCCTCCACCCCCCCAGGTCCCCTCACTCCCTCACCCCACGCCCCCCTCCCCTCCACCCCCCAGGCCCCTCA